CAAATACTACAGCCATTCTAGACTGACATCACTGGGACTATACAGAAACTGGATGCGTGAATGCCTGTGGAAAAGAAAGCAAACAGAAAGCCTCATGATTGCTTACATGATTGTGTAGAATTCATCTGAACCAACATTTGCCAATGTGGTTTTTGAAATATTTACCCAGCTCAGTGTGAGACACCAGAGTGAATAAGTTAAACTGAGAAAACAGTTTCCCATACAGCAAAAGTAAACACTCCATGAACATCCAATTAGAAAATGGCACAGAATAGTGTTTTGCAGGCCATTGTGACTCCCTTAATGCCCTTAAATACATAAATTGGCTAGTTAACTAACCAAGATACATCAAAAACTTCACTGGACACTGAAGAGTATCCAACTTCCCTTAAAAACTGAGCAGATTAAGCACCATTCACTGGTGTCTTTTCTGACAGCTCCACACTTCAGTGGATCGTCCTGACTAAACATCACAGGCTAGACAAATTCTTATCTTTTGAAATAACTCCAACTCAGTTTTTAAGCTGACACAGCATTCAAAACTTTAATATGATTTACAGTTAAATTAAACATAAAAACGTCATCATTAAAATAACTGTGATAAGGTTAAGACCTAATGCCACATATACTTTCTAAAGGTAGCCAAAGATATAAACACTTTGGTCTGTGGTGTCCCATCAGACCAGAAACATACCCATCTACACTGTGCTTATGCAGTGTGTACGAGTTGCAGGCTTTCAATATTTTATAAAATATTCCCTCTACTCAACTTGACTCCCTTTTTACCACATTCACTATTATTCATGCACCTTGTCTGTTGATGTTTTATTTTAAATTATAAAGCCCTAGTAATTTCTCTGCCATTTCTAGAAGTATGATTACAAGAAAGATCACCATTAGCATCCTTTCCAACCCTAAATATTCTGTGATTCTATGATTTTGAAAGTATTGTATATCCAATAAACTCAACCTATTTAGTGAGTGCCAACACAATACTGTTTGCAAAAAAAAAAAAAAGGTTTTGTACTTAAAAGAAAAAAAAATCAAGTATTTCCAACAAACATTTCTTCCAAATGTTTAGCAAAATGTGAATGGAGGACATTATATTCCTCTAGATTCATGCCTCAACAGCCACCTCGTATATGATCAAGGCATCCGGTAGTATAAGCTAGATAATTCAGATACAGTTTTAGTAGTCTGAAATCCTTTTAAAAATACTTAGGTGGCCTTACAGATACTTAAATCTCCTCTCAGAAAGAAAAAGTACTCAAACAAAAAGCATGAGTCTCGAATACACACTTACTGTCCCAGACCAATCTTTCACTATCTCAACAATACCTTGGCTTATGTCATATGCATCTGGTGAAAATATGTTTTTTCTCCAGTTATACTTTGTCAAAAAGTCCAGTTCTTTGTATATCATTATTAAGGAGGAATTACCAGACTTAATAAATTGCTTCTTTCTTCCTTATACCTCAAATCTCTATTTTCAGTAGGTAAAGTGGAGCATCCTGGAATGCTTATGGATGTTATCAGCTGAAAAAAGTTGTCATAATAATAAAATACTAACTTCTTGCAAGCTTTTTTCATCAAAGTATTTTGCAGGTGGTTTCATCATTCCTATTTCCTCTAATAAAGGAACCAAGATGCGGATGATAAAGATGACATGCTTACAGGTCTACACCAGTATACACTAGCCGAGAAATGATACTCTAACTTTCCTAACTAAAAACATAAGTGGGAATCATCAGATGAGGGTGAGTGCTGAGACAATCTCCACATAGACAAGATTTGAACCAAGCATCACAAAGGAAACTAAGGCAAACCTTTCCTGGAAAAAGCAAAGACAGGAAGAGAGAGTATCTCTTACGGGGCTCTTTTAATGAGCACTAAAGATGAGGACCACTTCTAATCTACCCTCAGGCATGAAGAAGACAGATGGCAACTTGCTATCACTCCTTCAAAAACTGTCAGATGTTTTCTGCCCTCTTTCAGTAGTGCCCAGCTCATTGGATGGACTTTCTAAAAATCTATGTCTTTTCTTACCAGATCATATTTTGCAGGTCTCTTCAGATTTCCACAGCTTAACCAAAGCATCGAACTTTTCAGCAGCAATATCATCACAGTAATGCTTAAGAATCCCACACAATGAGGCACTATTTTAGTGTGCTGCATTTTTATACTCATTTCTGTCCTTTGGAAGAATTGGAAAATACCTGAAAAATTATTCTGAATCTGCTTCCTTCCTGATGAAACCGAGAGGTATCACATTATCCTTCCCCACTTCTTAGTATACAAATTCCCCTTCAAGTTCCTTCAATGGCTTCCCCTTTAACTTTTGTATCATATTCTAGTATTTCATCTTTACTTCAAGGCACCACACTACCAGTCTTTCCTGTGTGTCAGCCCTCCTTTCCTCATAGTAAATCTCCTACTGGCTGTGCTCTTCTCACACAGCTCTTCCTAACACTTCTTCAGAGCCTTCTCATGATTTTTCTTAAATACTGCCTCTTTTACACAGAAAACCGATTCAAGCTCTTGATTATCAACTACTCTTTTCCACTGAATTATTTCTATAACAAAATGTCTCTTCAAAGCCTAGAGAGGAAAAAAAAATGCATACTGTAGAGAGATACTTTGGGGGTTTTTCTGTTTGTAAAAACCAGACTTGATATACAGCTTAAAACAACTGTAAAAAATCACTGAACTTACAGAATATTCTGAAAATGAAAACCAAAGAATAAATATCAAGATAATACTTCAGAAAAGACTAATAATTAAGAAAGCTGCAGATTAAGGTAAATTAATGTATGTTGGGAGAAACAGAGCTTGCTCCATGTATAAAATGTCATTGTCTCTGAGCTAGTCATTATCACTCAGACATGAAGTCTTGGGATTATAACAGTGCCATGAAAATATCACACAAGTACTTGGTAATAGTTAAAAAGGTCATTTACTTTTTAGAAGGAATGAAGAATGAAACAAAAAAAATAGAAGACATCTAATCTTTCACTGTATAAACCCATGCTTCTCCTATACTTTGTAAGGTATGTTTACTTATAAGCCCTGTGCATGGTAAATGTGCAGAGAAGCAATGAAGATGATGAAAACTATGGAGGTCCACAAAATTATTGAGCACCCATGAGATAGAGAGATGGATCGCTCATTGCCTCTTTCAATACAGAAAACATCAGCCAAAGGAAGCTAGTTGATCCCAGTTCAAAACAAGCAAGCAGTTCTCCATTCATGTGTAGCAGAATTATATAAATTCTTGCCAAAAGATGTGGCAGAAGCAAAACTTCACTGGGTTCAAGGGCAGGATTAATAAATACTTGGAAAAGAGATCTGGAGAGTAAATAGACAAGCCACAGAGGTCTTAAAGTCCCTGAGCCAGAATAGTTAGAAGCCAGAAGAACACTCAGTGGACAGATTTTATATATTTGCCTTGTGCATGCTGTATAATCTTCCCCTGATGCCCAATTTTGGCCACTGTTACAAAAAGAATAATGCTAGACAAGCATTCCACCTGAACTACTGCAGTTTCTTTTATGAAGTTATTTCTGAACATTATAACAAAAATACTCAGGACACATTCCATGCTTCTGAGCAGTGCCATGTCTTGAAAAAGCATTATCACAAACGGAAAGGGGATGAGGGTAATGCTTCGTTGGGCTATGCTATAATCCAAGGGCAACAAAGATTTTAATAGCAGGAGGCAAACTCAGAATATAAATCATTTTAGAGATAATCTCACATGTACAAAACTACTTATCTAAACCATTCCTGTATGTTAGATCCAATTTAGGATTTACACACTTTAACGCTGACTGGTGCTCTCAATTTTCTAATGGATTATGCCTGGTATCATTCAGTAACACACTGAATCTAGGTGAACAATCCTTTGGCTCTGAGAATCTGTTACCCTGGATCCTCAAACATAACCAGGAGACTGCAGTGTAATATGCAGTGCAATAAGGTGCTGTCAGTGACCTTTCTGAAAATCTCCTCCAATAACAAAACAGGTGGCCACCAACAGCTATGTCAGTTCTCAATGTTCTGTTCACCACTTAAATGAACGAGGACCGTATTCTTTCTTGTCTCATACATCAGCAGGGCACCCTGACAAGGATTAATAAACAATAATCCAGCAATAAATTACAGCCAAAGAATCTGGAACAGATTCCATGGGATGATGAGACTTTGGCTAGCATACAGCACTCACAACATTTGGAACATCTCCTGTGTCAACGATTAACACCTCACTGAGTATTCTGAATACACAGGGTATTTCACACACAATAACTGACCTTAATGAGGGCAAAAGATAAGTTACCTTTTCAAATCTTAGGGGGAAATGGGCTGAAAAGCTTTCAACCATGACAATATCTTGAGTCAACACATCTCTGAAGAAGCAGGTCTTCCTACAAAAACCCCTTGTGAAAGATTTCAGAATATCCAGCTTTTATATTCCTTCTTGACAAACTACCAATACTTAGAAAAGTTCTGGAGCGTGCATATTGCTGTGGGACAATGAACACATTTAGGCCTTTGCTCCAATAACTTCTAGGAGCATGCCTGTAAAGCTAAGGGAAGTGCTATTTGGAAGCTGTTCAAATTACAAAGTCTTGTAGAACACAGGTGAGATTCATGACTCTTCCCTAGGCTTGCACAAAGCATCCCAGAGACCCTTGTTAGTTACATGAGGAGTGTATAACTGCTAGAATCAGGTGGTAGACAAGAATGGCATTGTTTTAACCGTGAGCAATCCTTCCTCAAACACAACACACTGTTTAGATGCACACTGCTGAAGGAAGCCTGTGATATCCCCTTTGTATTCATATTTCAACTACAGCAGAGTTACTGGCAGAAGAGGAATAAATAATAATAAACACTAGCTGACAAGTGCAGACCATTTCTAAAGTACAGCAGAAACAGAATATGTAACAACTCAACATACTGTAATGTTCAAAACAAGGTGTTGTTTGGTTTTAGTACCTTACCTTATTGTAGAACTTCTTACCCTGAACAAACCCAGTTTCCTCACGTAAATTATCATGCTTAAACATGGAAAACCTTGAAGCAGATAGAAGCAATACCTAAAGGTAAGGGAGGAAAAAAAAAAAAAAAAACAAACATGTTGAGGCTCAAATCAATGCAATCTAAGCTAGTTGTTAAAGAAGGTACTAAAACACATTGCTGTCCCTCTAGAAAAAGTTGTAGGTTATTGACAATACTCTGATTCAGAGATAAAGTGAAAGGAAATCCACCCCGAGAGTAAGTTGGGCACTCGTAAGCCGGGTTTACCAGTGTAATGAAAAGCATTCAAGTGTCCAGAAAAAGTAAGCAATCCTTCTACTGCATTTAACTTAATAGCAAGCCAAGAGGCACACTGTAGAGCTGAAAACCAAGACTCCTTAAGATCTCACCCTCTTGAACGTACAGATATGAAGACTTCCTCTGGTATCACACATCTATTCCCAAATCCTATCCAAACCCATGCACCCATCTTCATATACTGCACTTGGCTGAGGCTTTCCACTGATCTCCCTTCAATCTAGGCTTTCATGCTACCCTGACTTTCGATTCAGGCAAAAATGTCACAAAGGCTTCATTAAGTTACAAAAAATAAAGAAAACAAAAAAATGGGAAAAACACCCTTTTTCTTCACAGAAGTGTAGAAAAAAAAAAATTAAAAAAAACCTTTGCTTTCCTCTCCTGACATTCAGAAGGAAACAAGAACATTAAGTATTTACTCAGCTACTCATTCCCACTTACACCTTCTCACAGCTGTAATACCCACCCCAAATTACCTCCTCCTCCCTGAATCACAACAGGATTTAGTCACCCTGTAGTACCCCACCCACCCCCCCTTTATAGACTGGTGAGAGAATCAATTAAATCCCCACAGCTGGCTACCCCGAAAATCCCTGCACTCAGTTCAGGCAGCTGTGGCCCTTCCTCTAGCAAAAGGGAGATTATTAACTCCTTCCCAACCATTCCTGGACATAGGTTTTATAACCCATTTCATACACCACCATCACAAATCAAGCACTCAAAACCCTTAAAGCCTGAATAAAATACAAGCTGGAAAATGCCCAAACCTGATTTTCTTTTCTTTTTTTTTTTTTTTTTTTTACTGCAGAGACCTAGTCTATTAATTTCCATTAAGAAACTAAATTTGATAAATAGATAACATTATAAAAAGAAAATGTAATTAGCATGTAGCCTTGGTAGATGTAAACTTACTGGTACCCAGGAGTAATAGCAGTTTATGTGAAAACTAGAATGTTAACATAATTATGAAAATGAATGTATAATTTATGCACAGAAGATGGAAAATATGCAAGGTGTGTAGAGCATACAATTATATTGTATTTTCTCATTTCTATTGATAGATTATAAATCTTTAGAATATGTTGAAACCATGCATAAGTCTGCATGATTTTTGGATGGCCATGATTTCTGATAAAGTTTTTTTTTCTTTTGTTTTTAATTAAACTCCATTTTACAACAGCAGCCCTTCCCCTGCTTTATTATGCCAAAGAAGCATATGGAAATATAAACTCTGAGATGTTACTGATTTATTTTGATGTTGGAGCATTTTGCTCTTGTGTAAACATTTCTTGTGACATGAATATGGATAGTTTCAAATCTTAGAAGAGTTCATTACTAAAGGTAGCATATGTTTTTGACTCCTGAACCATGAGGGAAATGAGAACACCCAGCTTGCCAAACAGTAAATTGTAAACAGTTGGTACACCCCTAAGCAAAAGACTGAAATAATTACTGTATCTGTGGTTTAGAGTAGCCAGCTCATTTTTATGTCTCTTTTTTGTTTGGGGTCTTTTTTTCATTTTGCTGATTTAATGTTTTTCTGCAAGGTTTGTAGATGCAGTCTAAATATATACTTTGGGCCTGCAGCATCATGATTCTAAGTGTGCAGATGTCACTGTGGATTCATGGATTTCCAGATATCCTACGATCATGTAGAAAAGCTTGTGTTGAAAGAAGCAGTTAGCTGTTTCACTTCCAGACCTACTCATATAATATGTATTTTTTTTAACCTAGGCTCCATCTTCCAAGGTACCAGACTTCTCTAGCCCATCAAGTTCTGAATACTTTCACTGCTTTGAATATCATGAGAAACTATAGCCAGTAACTATTCTGGCATACTTACACACAGAACATGGCTAGAGCTGAAAGACATGAATGGTTCTTTTGTGTATCATCTGTAAATTCTTACTGTGATTTTCCAAGGAGTCTGGCATTCCCGTGTCCTTGCCTTTCATGGAGCTTCCTCTCCAAATGGTTCAGCTCATGATGGAAGTGTTCCCTGCTGTTGTAGCATCAGGGTCCAAGACTGTTCTCTGCTGTGTCTTGGAGCACCTCCACACACACAGATACTGCCTTGGAGAGTGTCCTGAGGTGGCAAAAAGCAGGAAGCTAGGATCCACATATAGTTCTTCAGGGACGCATAAGACATTGCATTTAACTGTGTGCTGCCTTTCTCTTCCGTAGTGACAGTTTTCATTGCTTCTGCTGAAAATTAGGCACCCAGCCTTGCCCCTCAGAGCAAGGGAGACCAAGGAAGGAGCTGGGTGGGGAGTTGCACACACCAGGCTGGAGTGCAGAGGCTAACAGATGGGGTTTTAATATATTCATTCTGTCCTGGTGCCTTCTTGGACTCTTGGCCATAAATGCATATCTGAGGTGAGGTTAGCATGCTTGCTTTTCCTTCTCTACTACAATTCCCAAAAAAAAGTGAAAGACATTTTACAGAGTATCTGGTAATTTACTGGTTTGGACACTTAGCTGGGATCGGGCTGATTCCCTAACAACCAAATGACCCAGGCAAAATCTCTTTGTCTTCCTCCACATTCCCTAAATCTGTGTCTTACACATACTCTGAAAAAAGCTACACCCTTGAACTCCAGGGCTTCCAGGCCACCAACCATAGACTAGTTTTTCCATTTTTTTTTTCCATGCATTATCTAAGTATTGTGGATGTGGACGAAGAACAGATACAACTTTAAAAGTAGGAGAGAAAACTACCCAGGCACGCAGATGCAACCTCATCACAGGGCTGCTTATGAGTTGCAAGAAGCACTCAGATAAATCTGTCCTGGACGTCAGTATTTAAAGACCTTAGGTGCTTATCTATCTTTGGTAATCTGGGTCAAGTGATTTGCCTAGATCTCATGCAGCATGTTGGGTTGACAGCATAGCTAGGATTAGGAATCCTGGGCCTTGAGTCACAGATTGTTGCTCTCTTCAGTGCATGCCACTTTAGCACATAAACCAAACATACCACATTCACAGCAAATACTGGCTACAGACAGGACTTGAATTCAGGGAGCCACTACACTGTACATAGTCTCATAAGCATGTATGGGTACATACAGTTAAAAAGAACAAAACTTCCAAAAGCAAGACATTACTTTATGCATGCCCTTCTCCTGGGGAAGAAGAGAGAAAGAACAGTATGGTACAGATGTGATTGATGTTGTTTAACGTATTAATGGACTGTCTTGTCAGACACTATGGTGAAGTGCATATCAGAAGAGGGATGAAGCCACACAGCCTTGTCTGGCCTCTATCTCCCCATCAGTACCACTGTTTCACTCAGTCCTCAAGAACCCATAGAATCAAGCAGCTTCAAGTCACAGGCACCCACTGAGTATTCCTCCTGACATGCAGATATGTGGATTTACCCAACTTTGTGTTACACTGCAAATATTCAGAGAACTACTTTCCAAGAGCAAGCAAGGATTTATACATCCTCCGCACAAGCATAACCAAATCACATTTTCTTGAAATTAGGCTTGATGGTTCAACACCTGGGCCTGGTTTCACATTAAGTACTTTTGAAGAAAGGCAAATAGGCTCCAACATTCAGATTTGTAGCAATATACTAAATCTGGCATGTATCATAAACCTTTCACACAGCTCTAGAAAGAATTCCTTTTGTCCCTGCAAGAGTTATATATTTGGCAAATTCATCTCTTGTGTAACGTTATTGTCTTCGAGTGTAGTAACATGAAGGATGAATTAATCCTGTTACCAAATGATTTTTTACAAACAAATAATTGAGGCTTACTGAATGAGAAATAAATAGACTCTGCTATTTAAAAGCCAAAGCAAGACAAAAACTGCTTCCCATATTAACTCCTTTAAATCTCTGCAAAAGAAAAAGTGTCAAAGGTCAGGAAATATAACACAACCCTGAACTGCAACGTTGCATGCTCTTTCAGTAAAAGGAGGAACTCAAGTGCTAGTGAAGGACAAGGAATTGATCAAGCAGCAACAAGTTCATTCTTCTGACATATAAAGAGTAGAACATTGCTCCTTTGTTCCACATTTGTTCCATGCAGTTATCAACCAGAATTTACTTAGGCTTTCATTCAAGTGTCATTGTGCAGACTTATTCAAAGAGTATGGATGGAGACATAGCACAGAGATAACTGCCCCATTTCTCTCTCTCTCATCTCCACATTTAATGGATTCCATTAAATGTGATCCATCTTGAGTTTTTAGGTAAAATAAAATGTAAAGTAGAAGAGGAAAGATATATTTGAAGAGAAATAAGATGAGTGTAAAAGGCCACAAAGTGTAGAGTAGAAAGTTAGGAAAGTCCTCAGAAAAGGTTCAACTGCTTGTGAATTATATTACTTCAGTACAGCAGATTTTATGGTACTAGGTAACATTTGGGTGACAGGCTAAAATGTATGCTGAATAGGTACAGCACAACTACAGCTTAAGGAGTGATCATAAGATTCGTCTTCCCTGAATGCTTGGTGATATTTGTTTCTTTGGTCACAGAGCCTTTATTATTCTGATTTAGCTCTTCTGCTCTAGCTGCTCTTTTTGAAAGTTTCAGTAACACCTCAGTACATTTTAAAATCTCACAGCAGAAAGCCATTTCATTTGGTTCATTTTACTTGCTGAATATGTGGCATAGATTACACTGCTATTTAGTAAACCACAGAGATATATCACACATCAGTATTCCCAAGGTAGCTGGCAGGGTCCTGTGCAAGCACCATCAGGTGGGGCAGGACTGCCCTCTGAGCACTCCAGCAAGAGAGGTGGGAAAA